ATTTTTACCCATTATCTCTAAATGAAACTTGTTTCTTTACATCTTGCTCCACACCATTGAAGCTTCTCATCCCTTCCTTCCTCCCTTGCTTCTTCTTCTCCCTGCCCTTTTTACCCCCTTGTCTCTCCACCTCCCTTTTCCTCTTCTGTATTCCCCCTTTCTGTTGTTTTCTAACATTATATCCACTTTTCACCTTATTTTTCTCTTTTTTTGTTGTTTTTTTAAGTCTTAAAGTCTCCTTTTTTTTTCCTCCTTCTCCCTTTCTTCCCCAAATAAAGTTACTTGTTAATCAAAGATGGCTTCTTCTTTGTCCAAATCATCTTGTTGCGCAGTCAGTTTCTCATAGGTGCAAATCGCCAGTTCTAAGAATTGAAAAAGAGAGCCAAGAGAGTCCTTCCCTTCTTGTTCCTCTTCTTTGTATTTTTTGAATTCAATTTTCAATTCATCCACAAGTGATGCCATTGTAGAGAGAAAAAAATTTTTTTTTTCAAAACAACCACCTAAGTGTTTTTAGTCCTTCAAAGATAATTTCCAAAAGTCCCAAAGTCACCAAACAGTCCAAATAAGCTGTTTCTTTTAGCACTTTCTTCTTTCTTCACTTTCTCTTTCTGGGGTTACTGTTTAGTTGCAATATTCCAGTTAAAATGTATCTTTTAGAAGTCTTGTTAGTATTTAATGATTCTTTAAAATTCTAGGCAATCTCCTCCTTGCTTCCAAATCCTGCTCCAGTTCTTTTCCTCTCCCTTCCCACTTACAACAAAAGAGAATTTTTTTTTTCTGTTCGCTGTCAACGTTAGGAAGGAGAGTGAAAAAAATAGAACTTTCCCTTTTAACTTCCATTCGCCGCTTGTAAATCTCTGGGAACGATGTATCTTTTGCAAGTTTTAAGTTCCAGGGTACCTTCGTTGTTGCTTTGTCCCGGTCAGCAAAAAAAACTTTCACTTCTTCTTAACTCTTCCTGCACTTTCTTTTCCGTCTGAGCGCTTCTTTGTGGCGGCCATTTCTGACCGCCGCTCTACCGCCTTTGGAAAAGGGAGTTTAGCCGGCTAGGGAAGAGAGGTGCGATATCTCTCGACCCTGCCAAATCCCCCCTATCTTCACCACCTTCTACGGAGGTGGCTAGACCTGAAGCCGGGTGGCTCAGGGCACTCCAGCGGCGAGCGCAGGCAGAAACCGCACACGATCGCGGATTCCTGCCTGCCCCGAAGCGCTGCAAACCATAAGTTCCGAGTGTTTCAAACTCTTTTTGACATTCTAGGGTCCAGTTCAGTGGTTGACTCAGTCGCGGTTTGATTCTCCCCTCCCATTTAACAGTTCGGTGACGGGGAGGGCAAGTGGAGGGAGGGCAAGCAAATGAGGGGATGAACTGTTAGTAGAAGTTTGCAAATCCTAAGAAGCTTTCAAGCTGTTTGCAGGTACAAGGGGCTTGCCAGACTAAAACAGCTTTGACTTTGCCAGAGTCCATTTCCACTCCTTCACTAGATACCTGATAGCCCAGGTAATCTTGGTGGGACTGGTGAAATTCACATTTTGAGAGCTTGGCGTACAATTTGGTCAAGAATTTTTTTAGCACCTGACGTACTAGTTTAATGTGCTCTAATCTAGGGTCTCAGTGAAAAAGAGAATATCAAGGACCCCCTTGTAGAGGTGCTCATGTAGCACCTCATTGATTAGTTGCATAAACACTGCAGGTGCTCCTTGGAGGCCGAACAGCATTACTTTAAATTGAAAACTTCCTAGGGGGCAATTGAATGCAGTCTTCCACTTGTCCCTTTCCCTAATCCACACTTGGTAGTATGCCTCTCGCAGGTCTAGCTTGGTAAACGCCTTCCCTTAGGTGAGGTGGGCTAACAGGTCCTTCATGAAGGGGGAGTGGGTACAGTTTCCACACATACACCATTAATTCCTCTAAAATCTACGCATCATCAACCCATCCTTTTTTTCTTTGAATAGGACCAGGTCGGCTACCCTTGATTTTGCAGGCTGTATGAATCCCCTCGCTAGTTTGGTGTCGATGTACTCTCTCAGCTCTTTCATTTCTTTTGGGGTCATGAAGTACATTTTCGGCTTGGGTAGTTTCGCCCCAGGCACAAATTCCATGGTGTAGGCGGTGGGGTGGTAAGATATTACATTCTTCTTTGCTGAAGGCTCCTGCTAGGTCCTGGTATTCCTTTGGGATTTGGGGTGTCCCTGGGGTTTGCTCCGACATGGCTTTGGCTTTTTTGTCTTGTTTAGTGACGTTCAACCATTGGTCAGGTTTCCCTGTGGCTATGTCTGAAGGAGGGAGGGAGCCCAGAGGTGGTATTCAGCAGGTTCTGACCAGTTCTGGAGAACCGATAGCAGAAATTTTGAGTAGTTTGGAGAACCGGCAAATGCCATCTCTGACTGGCCCTGCCCCCATCTATTCTCTGCCTCCCGAGTCCCAGCTGATTGGCTGGGTCTTCTTTTGTTGCCCTGCACAGGAGAACAGAGCTGGAAAGCAGGTTAGTGGGGTGGGGAGGGAATGGAGATTTTGCAGTATCTTTCCCCTGCCACGCCCACCAAGCCATGCCTACAGAACCGGTAGTAAAAAAAATTGAATCCCACCACTGAGGGGGCCAACTCCCAGTCTCAGTTTTCTGTTGCCCTGTTCCCACCAGATGGTGGGGGCCCATTTGTCTAGCCATGCCAGTTCTAGAATCACCGCTTCTGTCAGTTTTGGCACCACTATGAAGTGGATAAGTTCCCAGTGTCAGCGCATCTCTAGCCTGACAGGTTCAGTGAGCAGTGTGGCAGGGGCTCCCCCTATCAGCGATCCATCAACCTGTTCGAATCATATGGGCTGGGTCAGGATCAATCTGGTCCACTTGACCCAGCATGCTTGCTCCAGACTTTCCAAGCTCAACCTGTCAAACCTCTCTGGCAGGCCTTCCAGGGTTTGGCTATGGACCGCTGTCCGATATCTCCAGTCCCCAGACTCATCCAGCTCCAGAGGTCCCTTCGCCCTCCATTGGTGGACAGTGGTCATTGACTACCATGTCAAGGTCACCCGCAGGTCTCTCACCAAACCCTGGACTGAGCTTCTTCAGCCTGGTAGAGGTCCCCAGTGCGTCGGCCATTCGGCATGGACTTTTGGTCAGGCCGCCCTCTGGAAAGTTATTTCATCTACCACTTCTGCCACCCGCTGGCTCTCAGTAGGGGTCTGCACAGCCCCCAGGGAGGCAGCAGCAGCACCCGCAATTTCCTCCTCATTTCTCCATCTTCACGATCTTCCCTGAGTCTTTGCTGCTCCTGTGAAGGTCGGGCGAGCAGCCAGGGCTCAGGACCCTGGACAGTGGCTCCAATTGTATCAGAGGATTAAGAATTGGGAGAGTTGGCTTGATGTTAAGGTTCCAAGTAATGCACCCACAGAAAACAGAACTCTGAGGCAGGCAGGTTACTCAAAGAACACATTATTGGATACTTCATATTGGCACAACTGGTGAAAGCTGACTTTGAAAGTTCCCATGGCTTTCACCTAATTAAAAATAAAAGTTTTCCCCTCCCCCCCCCCCCCCCCCCCCCCCCCAAGTCACTTATCATGCTGTCCAATCCAGGTGCTGGCCAGTTGCTTGGTTTCTGGCTCCTCCTCTGGCCAACCACCTGTAAGAATGTCCTTGGTTCCCACAGGAACACTTTATTGTTTTGGCTACAAAACCCCATCTAACTATTTCCCCCCTCCTACTGTTGTGTGACAACCCTGAAGCCTCCAAGAAGGCCTCAGTCCAGTTTACTTCAGGATTGACACTCTAGTCTCAGTGACCGATCCAGATTGGATCCTGCAACATTATCCTGGAACACGTATATTCTCCTTCATTTGTGAAGGAAAAGTGTGCTGTCAGTTGGATATTGGGGTAAATAAACAGATTGAATGTAGCTGGATTTTTTTATTATTATTACCTTTATTGTCAGAGCCTCCCTTTGTGCATCCCTTCGTGCATTCTGTCTGCCCACACTCTGCTTGACAAATGTTTGTCAGGGCACCAAAAGGAGCAAATTCTGGTAGCAATCTTGGCTTTGCTTGGTCCAGTCCCACAAAAATGTGTGTTGCCTCCTGTTAGAGTTTGCAGTAGAAATTCAAGTCCAGAAAACACACAGATGACTGATTCAGCAGGATCATTAACTTCTTTATAAACCTAATAATATGAAGTAAAGTTTACAATACCATTTGTAGATTCTTTCAACGTAACATAAGCAAAAACACAAGCAGCAGCTCAGTGGGCTCAGAACAGAACTCTAGTTTCAGTTTCAATTCTCAGCAAAGCACACAGAGCCAAACCACACCCAGGCTGTCAGATCCCATTGGCTGCTCTGTTGCCATGCTTACTCACTTGCTGACTTTGTTAACCATGTCTCTGCCAGTTAATGAATATACTCTGACACCTCCCCCCTCACTTAAGTGTCATGACCCAGAGTTTGAGAACTCTTTGAACTTCCCACACTTCTCATCATGAACACAAAGTGTTCCTCTTTCTTCCTTGGGTCACTTCCTAAAACCTGGGTGGGCTGGCCTGTTTGGGAAGACTCGTTCCTAATGTCTATGGAGATTCTCAGTCATCCAGGTCATGGTTGTCCTAAAGGTGCTTTTTCAAGAGGCAACTGGACTTTCTGGTTTTTCTTTGAAGACGTTTCTCTTCTGAAGAGGTGAAGAAGCTTCTTAGATGAGACACAAAATGTCTTCAAAGAAAAACCAGAAAGTCCAGTTGCCTCTTGAAAAAGTACTTTTGGGACTTGCTCCTAATGTTGTGGATGAGAATTCAGGCCATTGCAGGAAGAGGGAGGGAATGGACCCTGACCACCTCAGGATCCAGACTTCAGATGACCATCAGTTGAGGAAGGTTGGAGGCCAAATATTGTTCCACACATGTCTGTGTCTTTATGCAGGAGAGAACTCACAGAAATCTTGTTAATTCCCTGATTTGCTCCTAGTCTTATTTCTGTCTTTTCTGCTCTTGTTCTCCCTTCTCATCCCCATCCCACAGGCAATACCTGCCTCGGAATCCCTGTCCGACTCCTCCATACCACCACCAGATGCCTCCTCCACACTCCGACACGGTGGAATTCTACCAGCGCCTCTCCACAGAGACTCTTTTCTTCATCTTCTACTACCTGGAGGTAACAGACAAGTCCCTCCCTCCATCCCCACTGGGTCATGCCTGAGGACTACTGTTATGATACGTACAGAATAACCCTTGAGTAACAAGGATATGCACATGGAAACGTTTATGAGAGTAGTTATGAATAATTATTCAGCCACATACAGCCATACACTGAATTGAGTTAAAGTTTACTTTAAGAAATAGCACAGTCCAATAAACGGTCCAGGTCATATATGTTTTACAGTCCAAAGAATATCCAGTTACAAGTTCTTCTTACCGGTTGCCTTTGTCATTTCCAGTAAACAAAAATATCAAAGTATAAGCACAGCATAAACCTTAGATAGCAACAGAATGTCAGAGATACAGAATGTCAGAGATGCAGAATGTCAAAGAGACAGCATGTCAGAGAGACAGCATGTCAGAGAGAACAAGCCATGATCTCTAGCTCCCACTTATGGCAATCTGCAATACCATCAACCAATCGGAACACAGTACAAATCAACACAGTGATTTTGTCTTAAAGCTACAAAACATACATTGTTGCCAACCCAACTAATTGGTGGACAGATTCCTAACAACTACCTTGCACGTGGGATGATCAGCATCTCTCCCCTTGACCTGGAAGCCCCACAGCTCTGATCTGTTTTTCCTCTCTCACTTCACAGGGTACAAAGGCACAATACCTGGCAGCAAAGGCACTGAAGAAGCAATCATGGCGCTTCCATACAAAGTACATGATGTGGTTTCAGCGGCACGAAGAACCTAAGACCATCACTGATGAGTTTGAGCAGGTGAGGGTATAGGTAACAGAAGACAGGCCCGTCCATGCAATTTTACCTGTATTTACCTGATGGTCTGTTCCTCATAGGAAGAATGCAACCGAGCATGTACGTGTCCATTTTGAGCAGAGTGCTTCACATAACATGGCATTTTGTGAGGGGAAACAGGCTTGTTCCAAGGACTTTGAACATTTTTGAAGTCAAGTCACAGTCAAGTCATTTTGTTGTTGTTCAATGCTTAGTAAATTGTATGTGCAGGTAGTAGCTCGACTTGAGCCCAGAAATATGGCTGTAAGTCATGCCAGTCATTAAGCAGATTACCCTGTGATGACACCTGACTTTACAGTCTTTTTTTGCAGTGGTTGTTAAACGAACACTGCAGTCATTAGATGAATCCATTGTCCACAGTGGGTGATTTTTGCCAGAATCGTAGTTACCTGATTGCAGGATACGTCAAGCAGTCATAAATATGGGAGGTTGCTGAGTGCTCAAAAGGCAATCGTGGCCAGGGGAGGGGAGGGTGGGGGTGTGGCCATCAGAAATTTGAATCTGAGTTGTATGCCTGGGGAGGTAAATTTGAATATTCACTAAGCAACCAGTTGTAAGTGAAAGACGATCTGTAAAAACAGTTAAAAAGAAAACAAAACCCAGCTGTATTCAGATTAGCATCAGCCATGACCTTGTATTCATTGCAGCAATGCAGGGTTTAGCTACCATACAGGTCATAAGGGGCACTCTTTTTTATCTGAAATAGAGGTTCAAACAATAATTATCCATTCTTCCTTGGTATTGACACAGCAAGTATAGGCCATAACTATTCCAAATATCCCTTATGGAGCACGAGGCACTGTTTAAGGTCATGATCACCTTTTCTGCACTTGAAATAGTAGTTGTGCCTTCATCGGGGTTAAAAATGTAATGTTTCTTGTAACTTTCATGGGCAGAATAGAGAACATGGCAGGGCATTGGAGGAAGACAGAAGAAGAGTTAATCAAATCAGGTTCCCATTTGGAAAAACCTGGTGCCTTCTGCAGATACTTTTTAGTTAATTAACTATTCTTCAGTAAGAATTAGAAGTTGCTTTTCTATAATATAATAAGCCTAGGCCCTAGGCTATACAAGTTCCACTGTGGCTCCATGTATACATTTATGAATGAGGTGGTCCCACTTTTCTCTCTGCTGCAGTCACCTGCATGGATGAATGTTTGTAAATGCAGTAAATTACTCATACCTGCTTCTCATTCCTTAAAGAAGACAAGATGCATGCAGTCCTTTTGAGGCTGATGTCGTCCATCACCCAAAAAAGTGACCGTGCCATTTTCCCATCACCCAAAACAGAAACTGGATGCTTTTGATTCTTCCATACCTCATATGTCTGGTGTACTACTGTTCCCCTCACACAAAGTGAAGGCATGAAGGAACTGCTTCCTCCTAAATTGCCAAAGTTCTAAACTTGTAACATTCTGTGAGGCTCTTACAAGAGAAGGAACCAGGCCCACTTAAAGCCACAGGACTGCTTTCACGTGGGAGGGCAGGTATCATCTTGGCAATAGAGTCCAGGATTCCTTTAGTACAAATAAATGCATTCAGTCAGGCAAGCGGTAATGAACTGTGTTGTATTTTCCTGTTTCTGCTCAGGGCACTTACATCTACTTTGACTACGAGAAATGGGGCCAGCGCAAAAAGGAGGGTTTCACCTTTGAATACCGCTACCTGGAAGACCGGGACCTGCAGTGATGCCCTGGGGCCAGCAAGGGATGCCAAGTTTTCCTTCCAGAGACAGCTGTGGTGGTGTGCTGGGGGCGGCGGCAAAGGAAGACCCACCTACCCCTCACCTCTGTTCATCTTCCTCCCCAGATCACAACTGGGGTGGGAGGGGGCAAGCCGCATGTTTTTTAAAAAATGCATGCAAGTTTTAAAAATGACCGCAGGACAGAGGAGGAGGGGCAGCAGCAGTGGCAGGCTCCTCCTCTGCCTTTTCTTTGCTCTGTTCTGCCTGTGAAGAGGTCAGAAACGGGGAAATGCCCTTCCTGCGCACCAGGTTTGGGTGCCAGAGTGGAGATTAAAAGGGAAAAAAAATGAGAATCCCACCAAAAGAGTGACTTCCCCCGTTCTCCATTTTGTGTGTGTGTTCTAAATAAGAGCATTTCAGTCCCGTAATTATTTTAGCAAACACAAACACCCCACTTGCCCTTTTGCCAGCCCTCTCCAAACTTTTTTTGGTGCGAACTCTGTCCCCCATTTGGCTAGATGCCCAAGTATGATCTTGACCATAGTGGGTCCCATGAACCTTTAAAGTGACCATTCTCTGACCTCCTCGTCCACTTGCCACTGCTGGAAATGGCAAATTGGCAAAAATAATAGGATTGCAAATTTGGACGCATCAGCCTCAAGTTACAAAGGCTCCCCGTGACCACGGAAATTCTTGTGGATTGGCTCCTGTCAGTTTTTGGCCGCCATAATTTTTGACCTGCGTTTTTTGCAAGTTTAAGGATAACCCCTTAAAGGCCATCTACCGTCATCATGCCCTTAGTCATCCTCATTTGGAAGAGACTCTTTCCTGACTGGAACAATGACTTTTGGGATTTTACCTTCTCCCCCCTCCCCAACGCTGCTTCTCCTTTCCAACCTTCCAAAATATTGCCACCGTAAATTTAATAAGCGCTTGTATCTAATCTGCTGCTCCTCCCACAGGAAGACACCCCCCTCCCCAATAAGACTTGCAATTTATTCCTAATTGAAAAGGAGACATTTGGGAAAACTTGTTTTTTTTTGGGGGGGGGGGGGGCGGAGGTGGGACTGATCTCTCTTCTCATCCAGCCCCCTGAACTGGAGCATCCTGCCCATGCCTCTGTTAAGATATTTTTTCGTAAGCCTATTTTCATTTTGGAAAATATTTATGAATAAATAGTTTTATATGAGTGTTCTTCTGTTGTACAGGGGAGGGGGATGAAAACCATCAAACCTTGGGGGTGGGAGAAAGGACTCCTTAATCTTTTGGGATATAATACCTGTGAGTCAGAATGACGCATAATATATTCAAGCCCTGTCTGAAGGCTCCCTGGAATATGCAGGTAGTCCTTGATTTAACAACCAAAATTGACCCCAAATTTTCTGTTGCTAAGTGAGACAGATATTAGGTGAATTTTGCCCCATTTTACACCCTTTCTTGTTAAGTGAATCACAGTTGTTCACTTAGTAACATGATTGTTAAGTGGCTCCCCCATTGACTTTGCTTGTCAAAAAGTGATCACGTGACCCTGGGACACTGCAACCGTCATAAATATAAATCAGTTGCCAAATGTTTGAATTTTGATCACGTGATCATGGGAATGCTGCAATGGTCATATGTGTGAAAAATGGTCATAAGTCACTTTTTTCAGTGCGGTTGTAACTTTGAACGGTCACTAAATGAACTGTCATAAGGATTACCTGTATTGCCTCCAGTGCTGGTCACCTGACAATTCATCTGCTATTGGTGATCCACTACCTTCAAAGGGAATTAGAGATTACAAAGGTGATCCCCAAGCAGCCTGCCAGGAGGAACCCTTGGTTCCCCCTCCTAAGAGAGCCAGACCAGGAGCGGAGGCAACTTTTACGCCCACAGCTGCTGGCTTGCGCAGTCCTGAAGAGGCTGAAACAGCATTACCTGCATACATGGAGGCAATTATCTCTAGAGCCATAAGGCAAGGGATCATGGAAGCCCTCCAAGCAATGAGAAGGCCTCAATCAGTGGTGTCAGAAGACTCAGACCTAGAACAGTCCATTCATGATAGAAGCAGATAATTCTTAAGGGACAGAGCTTCTCCTGACCCCTCCATACATAGCATTACATACAAAACACCAGGGGAAGATGAGGGAATCTGATTTCTTGGCAGACGAAGATATGGCCCGGAGAGACCTTTCTTCACTGGTCTCTTTGATTCTCAAAAGTTCAGGGCCTTATTGTTTAAGGCCAGAAAGATGGCCCATTTGGGGCTAGAAGCAGATGTCGGGGAAGTGGAAGGGGACATTGCTGCTCCTCCAGACCAATATTTTGACGAACCAACAGTTCGGCCTGAAATGGTTTCAGTTCCCAGATTGTTTTTGAATGTAATCAAGAAACACCTGGAATCCCCAGGAACATCTGCCATGTTATCAGCCAACAAACACCGCTACTTTAACATGGGGCCTGAACTTACCAGCTCATTACAGGTGCCATCAGTGGACGGTCCGGTTGCAGCCTTGATTTCTTCCTCATCAAACCCCGCTGATCCAGAGGAGGCATTGAAGGCAGAGGACAAGAGGATTGAACAATCCCTCCAACATACACACCTGGCGGCTGCCAGGGCAGTCAAGGCTGCTTCAGCTGCCTGATTCTTTATGAGGTCTTCCTTACGTTGGCTGCACCAACTGCAAGACAGGGTCCCCACCACAGATGTCCGAGTGCACCAAGACATCCATAAACTTGTGGCAGCAGCCGAATTTACTGCAGATGCCACTTTAAACAGTGCCAGATTTGCTTCAAAGGCCATTGCCACTTCTGTAGCAGCCTGCAGAATGGTCTGGCTTAAAAACTGGCAGGCCAATGAGCGGTGGAAGTGGAAGGTGGCATCTGCCCCGATCAAAGGGGATAAATTGTTTGAGGAGGTCCTAGAGCCCCATCTGGTGGAGACCAGAGATAAAAAGAAATACCTACCTTCTCTGGCAAGGCGTTTCAGTTTCAGAGTGGTACCATACACCTGCAGGTCATCTTTCAGAGCTGAGGGCAGCACCAGGGCTCAAGGGCCTCAGAGGCAGTCCTTCCACCACCAGGAATGCCCCCAGGAAAGAGTGGACAGAGATAGGCCTCAATTTTCAGGCAAGCAGCCCTTTCGTGGGGGAGGAAGTCACTTTTTCCGGTGCTCCCGCTAAATGCAGCAGTACTCCCATTGGGGGTACGTTATCCAATTTTATGGCCCAATGGGAGGCTACTACATAAGACGCTTGGGTCTTAGAGACCATTAGACATGGCCTTTTCCTAGAATTTAGGTCACAACCCCCCAGATTTTATGTGCCTTGCCCTGTTTCCCAGGAGGCTTCCCGTAGGAAACTAATGGAACAGGCCATCCAACACCTACTGGATATTAGAGCCATCCAGTCAGTTCCAGATAATCAACAGGGTAAGGGATTCTACTCCCGGCTGTTTGTTGTTCCCAAGGCTTCTGGGGGGTGGAGAGCCATTCTGGACTTTAAAAGGCTCAATAAATTTTTGTTGTATACAAGCGTTTCCGGATGCATTCGCTGCAGTCTATTTTGCAGAGTGTCAGGGAGGGTGACTTCCTCACCTCAATTGATTTAACAGGCTTATCTACACATCAGAATTTGTCAGACACACAGGGAGTATTTACGCTTCAGCTACGAGGGGAGTCACTTCCGATATAGGGCTATGCCTTTTGGTTTATCCTCTGCACCCAGGGTGTTTACTAAGGTCTTGGCTGCCTTGGCAGCTCGCTTGAGAACCATCCCAGTAAGGGTGCAGTGTTACCTGGATGATATTTTAATCCAATCATCCTCACATGACTGGGCCTTAAAGGATCTCCAAGCGACAGTCTCCCTGTTACAAGACCATGGCTTTTCTATTAACAACAAGAAAAGTCATTTCTCACCATCTACATGTTTATTGCATCTTGGAGCTAAGATGGACACAGTGTCTTGTAAGGTATTCCTCTCACAGGAATGCAAGGACAGTTTACAAAGCATGGTGGGGGAGGTCGTGAGACCGGACAAGTGTCCCTTGGTACTTCTCTCACAACTCTTAGGGAAGATGATTTCTTGCATCTCCATTGTGCCTTGGGCTAGGCTACACTCCAGAAAGCTTCAGTGGTTTCTGTTGCCCCACCAAAAGGCGGGTAGAAGTCACTCATCTCTCAAGGTCTCAGTTCCTGGGTCTGTCAAGCAGTCCTTGTCATGGTGGTTTTCTCAGGCTTTGAATGCAGGTCAATTATTCAGAGAGCCGTCCTGAAAGGTAATCACTACCAATGCCAGTCTCTCCGGCTGGGGGGCGCATTTGCAGTCACAGTTGGCCCAGGGCCAATGGTCTGTTTTTGAGAAGGGTGTTGAGGTAATTCCCCGTTAGGAGAATGAGTGCACACAGGGAGACATAGTGAGAGTGATATTGAATAACACACGACCAGCACACAGATACACTGAATAGTAAAATGTAGATTTTACTTCCAGTAAACGGTTAAGCAAAGTCCAACAAACAGTCCAAGTCATACACGGTTAAAGCAGTTTTTCAGTCCAGGGATAATCCAGATAAAGTCCAGTATCATAAACACTTCAGTAACAGACTTACAGCAATCCGAGAAGAACGACGATCAGCAACAGTCAATAAGGAACCAAAAACAGTGAACATCAGAAAATCTAGCAACTAACAACAACAGAACTAACAAACCCAGGTTTCTGGCTCCATCTTATGGCCGTTTGAGGAACCACACCAAATTACAATTTTAACATTCCCTTAAAGAGTATTAAACGTCTATCCTGGTTTATATATTTCCAACCCAATTGTTAGGTGACTATCAATTCCTAACATTCTCCCCTTTGGGTAGGACAATATATAACACCTTACATTTTTAGTCCATATTCTTCACAGCCAGCCTTATGCTTTACAGAGCCTTGGGCTTTTTTAAAATGATCTGCAATGTTATTTTCTGACATGCAGTACTCCAGTTTAATCATTTTACTTTGCACGCATTGTCTCACATTAAGATATCCTAGATCTGTGTGTTTTGATCTTGTCTTTACAGCAAGATTGGAAGCCATCTGTATTGCTGATTGGTTGTCTTCATAAACAACAATAGAATCTGTTACATCAATCCCCATATCAATCAATAGTTGCTTATAATAAGCTAAATCTGTACATAATAGAGATAAACATGAGAGTTCAGCCTCCATTGTTGACAAACTTAGATGTTTCTGTCGAATAGACCTCCATCCAATCAACACTTTTCCTAATAATACTACAGACCTGACGTAGATTTACTTGTATTTATGTCTGTAGCAAAACTTGCATCGGCATATGCAGTTAAACTTAGTTCATCCTTAGGCTCCAAATAATGCTGCCCTTAATGTAGTAGCCTTCAGACTAGGTGCAAACACCTCATCATAGTCATTTGCTGTCTGATTAAACCCTTGTGCTACTAACCTGGCTTTATGGGTAACAGTCCCATCTACACCTGTCTTTAGTTTATATATCCATTTACACTCTATGGCATGTTTACCTGGTGGTAACCTAACATTTTCATATACCTCCAGTTTTTTTAATGATTCTAGTTCCTTATCCATTGCTTTCTGCCAAGCAGCCTGATCCTTAGCAGGATACAGTTTCAGTTCATTATAATTACTTGGAACTGTATTCACTTGGCATACAACACTAGCCTGATATCTATCAGGTGGTCGTGTTACTTGGGTTGAACATCTTGGTAATACAGGGCTAACTGGTGGACTTTCCTGTGCCACCTGCTCCTGTTCTTCTACCTCTTCCTGTGCCTGTTCTACTACTTCCTCCTGTTCTTGTTCTTCCTCTTTAATGGCTATTTGTGGTTTACTTATGTTATCTTTAGGGGCTATTTGGGTGTCAATGATATTATTGCTGGATTCCTGTTCCAGTTTATCCCACCCAACGTGCTCAAGAAATTTTGCATTAGCACTACAATAAACATGAGCTGTGCCTTGATCCCAAAATCTAAACGATCTATGGTTGGCCTCGTAACCCACAAAAAATAACTTCTTAGCTCTATGTTGCCCTTTCAGTCTTACTTGTGAGGGAATATGCACCCATGCTGGAGCTCCAAATGTGTGTAGGTAACTTAAATTTGGTTTTCTGCCATGCCAACGAGTGAATGGCAATTTTCCAGTTGTTGTATTAACTACATTGTTCAAAACATGGTTGCTACACATTAT